CAGCACTTTGTGAACCTCCATGTGCAGATTTCGTGGCAGGCACAGCATCTGTGGAGCTGGAAGCTGAGAACTGGCGACTTTGTAGTACAACTTTAGTACGCGGAGTATTTGGGGAGCTGGAAGATGAGAACTGGCGACACTGTAGTACAACTTTAAGCGGAGTATCTGGGGAGCTGGAAGATGAGAACTGGCGACTTTGTAGTACAACTTTAGTACGCGGAGCAATCTGGGGAGCTGGAAGATGAGAACTGGCGTCTTTGTAGTACAACTTCTTATGCGGAGTATCTGGGGAGCTGGAAGCTGGGGAGCTGGAAGATGAGAACTGGCGACTTTGTAGTGCAACTTTTTAGTACGCGGAGCAATCTGGGGAGCTGGAAGCTGAGAACTGGCGACTTTGTAGTACAACTTTAGTGCGCGGAGCAAGCCGTGGAGCTGGAAGATGAGAACTGGCGACTTTGTAGCACAACTTTAGTACGCGGAGCAAGCCGTGGAGCTGGAAGCTGAGAACTGGTGACTTTGCAGTACAACTTTAGTACGCGGAGCAAGCCGTGGAGCTGGAAGCTGAGAACTGGTGACTTTGTAGTACAACTTTAGTACGCGGTGTATCTGGGGAGCTGGAAGATGAGAACTGGCGACTTTCTAGTACAACTTTAGTACGCGGAGCAATCTGTGGAGCTGGAAGCTGAGAACTGGCGACTTTGGTCGGTTCCAACTTGTTTTGTCAAAGAACATCGCAGCTCGGCGAATCAGCCTGCCACATGCCCATTTCCTATAGGCTTATTCTTTTGGAAACTTCCGCTGCCGGCTTGCCCGGGAACTACTTGTATAATATATATATATATACGCAAATATGTATATATATATATATGTTATTTGTGTGTCTACTCCGCAGTCAGAATGCATGGCTCGGAATTTGCTATTGTGCCATCTACTGGGCATCGAGACAATGGGCAAATCTATCCAAATTTCTCCAGTACATGGCGCAACATGACCTCTGATTCTTTAAGATCTTGAGACCCAATTGAGCCATGTACTGGCCATTGTATGCTTGAATGACGTTGGTTCCACTCAACAGCTGGACCGTGTGCACACGTCGTTTTCACGGCCCGGATGGACCATTCGGACCATTTTTGCACGGCACCGTTAGGTGGAGATGTTCAATACCTTCCATGGCCAGTGGGCGTGGCTCCCGGGCGCTGCAAATCGATTTCACAAAGAAAACACCTGGGGAATGTGTATTAGTGGGACGCCCAAGTAACAACCTCTCCGCAGAAAGGGGTGAGTAGCGTCTCCCTGGTCTCCCTATTCCAACAACTAATGTGATCCCAATCTTTCTTGGCATTCCTTATAGCCGACCTGCCGAACAACCCATGAATACCACAGAATTCCTGGGATGTGCCTCTTGAGAGTCCGGAATTGCAGGTGCTGGTCCAAAAGATCGAAAGATCGACCGACGGAAACCAAAAACCACTTGTAGTGGGTAGTATTGCTTTTCACTTGCGACCAGTGGGAGGGTTGGTTTTGAAGCATTTCCTAAACACTTTTTTGCCTGGTAGCAATGCCAGGGGGAAGCAAACATGTGTTTGTTTTGTCCTTGGCAGCTTTGGGAGGCAGTTCAATTTTTTTTCATAAGAATCAAGTGTTTGAGGGGGCCCTACAGGGCATTGAAATTGTAACGTTGCATGGCAAGTGTCCCTGTTCCTTTAGAAGTTTATGTAAAGAACTACAGTGATCGTCCCAAGAACCAATTAACTACAGATTGCATGGGGTGTTCTCCCAGTTGGACACATACTTACGTATACATGTTATTCTTCTTTGTGCACCCTTGGACACCAACAAAATAATGTAATGTTCCATGAGTGTCTATGAATGATAGTTCCATGTTTCCAGGTCCCATTCCTAAAATCAACATCAACAGGACATCAAACATGTCGTCCAACTTTGTGGTTTTTGGGCTCTCGTCCAACAAGGGTCTCCCCCCTTCATGAGAGATGAGGGATGTGCTTGCGCATGGTGATCAGTAGGTTAACCATGCCTTTTTCGTCCCAAGGACATCAACCAACTGGAGACTCCTTTGTAATCCACCCAACCAAATCAAGCAACTCCTGAAACCATCCAACTGGCTCCGGCAGAAATCCAGGTGCCGGCGCCGGCCATGCCCAAGCGCCGTGCCGGCAGCGCTGCGGCGCTGCTGGCCGACGGCCGCATGATGATCATCGGCGGGCAGGGCGCCCAAGAGAAGGCGGAGGAGAAGACACCGGAGGCTCTGGAGGAAACAAAGAAAGGGTGTGGAATGGAACAAGATGTTTGTTGCTGATTTGCCATTTAGTTGCTTGGAGGTCGGATGATCATGTGCACGATGTTCTCGCGTGGGCAGGATGCATGTCAGATGCAGGTAGGTTGGTAAGGTTTTGGACGTGTTTGATTAAACATTTAGTCTAGTTGTTAAACAGTTTTTTTTTGGTGATAGTGATTTGTGATTGCCCAAGTCCAAGACCTCCAACAGGGCCCGGCTCCACAGTTCAGCAAGTCAACGGTTTCACAGCAGAAATTAGTTGGTGCCCATTGGTCTTCCTTACTTTGACGGCAAAGGATGTTCACTTTCATGCAGGCATCGAAACCTTTTGAAGCCCCCTCCTCAAAATGGCGGTGAGCCAATCACGCGCCACCTTTTGCGCATCTCCGAAGGCATTCCAAGCTACTAGTATATAGCTCCTGGCATTTCTGCTAGTAACAAGAAACTACTAGTAACAAGGGCATTACTACTAGTAGCAAGAAGCTAGTAGGTTGGAGGCCATCGCTACTAGGGTGGAGGCCATGGCTACTAGGTTGGAGGCCATCGCTACTGGGGTGGAGGCCATCAGTACTAGGAACAAGAAGCTATTTGTAACAAGGGCATTGCTACTAGTAACAAGAAGCTAGTAGAAACAAGTGCATCGCTACTAGTAACAAGTGCCTTACTAGTAGTAGCGAGAAGCTAGTAGGAACAAGTGCATCGCTACTAGTAACAAGTGCCTTACTAGTA